TTCGCTACACTACTACAGCACTGGGTTTCATTTTCCTTTCGTCGAATTCCGCTTGTCGCTATGGATCGATAAAATGAGGGGAATCCCGAACAGCAAAGAGGAAGAGTGTTATGATATACTCTCCGTACGGAGTACAGTGCATGGAATAGCACAATACTAGCATGGCGCTACGAGAGCAGGCTCGGATTAGTATGTAGTTAGTACGCGCATAATCTTTCTTGTCGATCAGCTTGTAGTGCGCAAATGGGGCCGACGGAAGATTGCCCTTTGCAGACAAGCGCGGGGGTTCGTTGTCCGAGAGGAAGAGCTCTGGCAGTTGGGGGCTCGGGAGTGATGGTCCACTCTTCGCTTGGAGCCATGGCCAAGCGCTGAAATGAGAATCTTTCACGTCACATTTTCCTGAGGCCACTCTGATGGCTGGTGTGAAAGTTCTTCATCCCTCCGCCCCCAGATATCAACAAGGAATATCCTACAAACTGTGCCTACGATGGGGCCATAACCAGATCATACTGCGTACTAGCAGCCAGCGAGACAAGAGCCATTAAATTCAAACCCGTGGATTCTCGGGAATCTCAACATTTTCATCCAGCCACATTCAGCTTGGCCTTTGGGGGCTCTTTTTTCTGTGAGAATGCTGAAAGGATGCTAGGTGTCACTGCGGGGTTAACGGCCAACATGACATGTAGTGCAAAAAAAAAAAAAAAAAAAAAAAAAAATGTACAGGAAAACTTTACATAGTACTGCACAGTAAGGGCTTACTCTTCAGTAGTGCATTTTCCCCAGCGGCCTGGTGGGGTTGATTGAGTCACTTCCTAAGTTCCTACTATATACCTAACCTCCAAACCAACGGGGATGGAGATTCGTGACATTTTCCTGTTCAGTTTTAGGGTGGTGAAAAACAACAAAATTAATCGTCGAATGTGATGGCAGGGCTGAGGTTTCTAGCCAGCAGAAACATGGTTGGATTGATCAAAAATGTCAAATTTGTGTCAACAACTGCGATGAGCAGTGGAGCGTAAGTAGGAGATCAACATCGCTCATTTCTACCGTTAAAAATGGAACGAGGATTGTGTCGTGACTCGTGAGTTAGGTAACTACCCTTTTAAACTTTTTTCATGCATTTTCCTTGAAGTGGAGGGGAACATGTTGGCCTCTTGGTTAAAAGTGCCGGAAACGAGAGTTATGACTGACACTGCTGTAAGAGAAAAAGAAGAACAACCAAAGGCCAAAACAAAATATGAAAACAAAGGTCAACTTGGCATTCGATGTCTCTGGTTGACCACCAAAAGAGCAATGTGAGCTGGAGATACCCTTTGCGCTGCTGAGTATCGATCATTGAGCATTGGGAATTGAACATTGAGGAGGAGGAGGGCCATTCTTGGTGTAACTACGGCGTAATTATCGCGGGCCATTACATTGCACACACGCCGCATATACGCCGCACAACAATGACGCGGGCGGTTGGGTGCGGGAACGCTCGCCTGAAGGCGCATAATGATAGAACTGTCGCTCGCCCGGCGCCAACCAACAGGAGAATCACAGACAAGGGCGGCATACGCGTCCAGAGTATATCACACAGCCGCCCACCCTCGTAGCGTCAGTGATTGGGCAAACACCCACGACGCCATCACAAGTTCACAACACCAAAAGAAAAAAAAAAAAAACACCCTTGCCGCCCAACCAATTCGGCTCTTCCACGCCCTCCCTCCTCGAGTCCTTGCTCAGCAAGGATTGTCGCTAGTGAAGGAAGCCAGGCATCTCTTACAAGGAATGTGAAGTGGCGAGGAATATGATATGCCTTGGTCGCATGTGATAGGATGGCGGGTCGCAAGGGGGGATGGCGCTACAAGCGGGGAACAAGTTTGCGGCAAAATAAGAAGGGGCGCCAGCGTCGCAGCGTCCGGCGGCCGCGAACAAGCCGTGGATCGCGCAAACGAGGCGTCTTTTGGCGAGCAGTGGG